GGGGGTATTAGTAGTTGCAAGGATTCTAAGAAAATAGATGAAGTGAATACAATAAGAGGGTACTACTTGGTATATTCATGTAAATAAAAGCATTATCTTTAACTGTGAATTAACTGCCAGCTATCGGGCTGTTAGTTGTAAAGCTGGGTGAAGGCTGCGCTGAGCGGCTGGCTGAGGAGAGGGTCCGAAACACGGGAGAGGAGCCTCAGGGTCGGATCCACCGACCCGGTGAGTGCATCTAACATTCTTGCTGGGCGTCCTAAGGCAAACTGGAAGGGCCCGTCAAATAACAGCCTCGTGTATTTGCCTGAGCGTGGTGAAAATCAGCATGGAGCCCTCCTGCAGGGAGGCACTGGGGAATGAGAAAACAAGGAGAGAGAGAGTCTCGAACTTTCTTCCCCACCCGCACTGCCCCCTCCTCCCAGTCACAGCAGCAGCACATTTCAATGTAACGTAATTACTTTAATAATACATTTCTTTAGATTTAGAATTGCTCTTCTGAATTTTAAAAGCTTGGTCGGCCAAGAGTTTGGCAGTCTCTCATCCGAAATTTGAATCGTTGCTTCCTCGCAGGGTCTGGAACGCCTGGACCAATGCTGCCCCCTCCGAAGGCCCCGACGTCCCCTCAGCCGTCGTCGGATTCGGGCGCCTGGGAAACCTCCTCGGACGAGCTGGTCCTGTGGATGCGGCCGTCGCTCCTCATGCTGTGGAAAGTCTTCCTGAAGGCCTCCATCATGGCGTGGGCCAGCTTCTTGGCCTCCAGCTTGCTCTCGCACTCCACGGCGTGGCAGTCCATCTGGTAGGACAGGTCGTCGTTGATCTCCCTGTAGACCCAGGCGAAGATGTTGGGGCTCACGTTGTGGTCGGCGGTGCAGTAGGCGATGCGGGCCACCTGGAAGGTATCCATGTGCACCGTGGCCTCCCCTCTGTGGTCCAGGTGATGGAGACACACCTGGAACGGGCGGATTTCCAGGAGGACGTTGGCCGGGAAGATGTCTTCTCGGGCCAGTGTGTGCTTCCTCCAGAGCTCAATGACGGGCTGCTCTGTGCAGCCTGAAAAGAACTGCATGCCCGTGGTGGGGACTTTACCCAGGTAGGTGACCTGCAGAGGACAGAGAGGGGGAATAAGACAGGGGTCAACAGTGAACGTTTCGTTCTAGGCGGTCATTTCAATGCCCTGTCACAGTGTCACACGGGAAGGTGAAAAGACATCTTTCCTGCTCCCTAAATGAATAACTGGCATCTGAAGTTTTATCTTTTCTCCCTAACAAATGGCCCATTCGGGAAAGATACTAAAATTCTTTAAATAGAGTTGGATTTCAAAAAAATCTTATTTCTAGAGAACTACTTTCCCTCCCCCCCCCTTTTAAACTCATATTAGAGAGAGCGATTTGATCTTGTATGTCATTTGGCATTTCTTTAAAATCATAAAGCCACTTGACAATTATTTTCCACCAAACACAAGCAGAATTTAATGGTAGGAAGGAGTAAAAAGTATGGTGCCTCTGAAAAACAAAATCCTTATTAAACACCTCCTAGTCTGGTTCTCTTTCCAAACCTGTCAATGTTCAATTTCACTTAAGCTACTTGCTTCTAGCAAATGCCAAGGACACACACAAAATGTTCTGTTTAAATTATGGCTAAAACATGATTGGTTTCCCTCCAAGATAATTTTTGAAAATATAGCAATACAGTTGTTTTTCAACCTAAACAGTTTTTGAATTGATGGGCACCATCTGGCTATAGCAATAATAAATGCAAGATCTACAGATGGTTGGAGACTTAGAATGCTTGCTTATCAAGTAGCTGGGTGGGCAGCAATGAAAAATAACTTCAAGTGATTCAAATAGTGGCTTCTTAGAAACCTGTTTAAGAATACCAAGAAGGGATTTTTCGTTCTTTCATTATTTTTCATTCATCAAAATAGATAGGACTGCTCCTATTATGGCAATGCATAGCACTGAAGAAGTCATTTAAGAAATAACACAAAATAGTATACGATTCGGTGTAAAATTAATTGCACAGATATAAATACTATGGATTTAAAGAAGACAAGACCAAAAAAAGGTCCATGGAAATGGTGAGAACTGACAAAGGACATTTGGCCACAGTGATTCCAAATCAGTGTTGACATTTAGTGGGATTATAAAGGCCAAGTACCAAAATTTCAGAACACAGAAGTTAAACAGTTACAACTTCTAGTGCTTTATCTCTTAAGCAAGAGTTAATTGGATAGTCCCTTTAAAAACACAGCTCCTTAGTAAAGAGGCTGAAGAGCTGCACGTTCTAGAAATATTTTTTTCAGAAACCATTACGCATAATGGCAATATGCCAGGTGGGCATGGGGGAGGGGGAGAGCGAAGACGGGTGGCCCCCAAATCAGTGGGGAGCAATTGGATATTTGTCCAGAGGCAAGCAAAGTCAAGATTTAAATCCCAGCTCCACTGTTCACAAGGCGATGATTCTGGACACACTGCTAGCCCTCTGCACTTGCACAGACATAATTTGATGTAAGGGAAACATGAAAAAGGCAGCAAGAGGTACTACCGTGTGCCCTGAACATTCAGTGGAAGGAACGTTCTGTGGCAGGGGCCTCAGAGGGAAGAGTCACTGGACTTAAAGGCTTTGTCACCTAAAAAGCCAGATGAGAGCCCAGCAAGTCAAGGTGGTGCAAGAAGGGAGAAGAAAGGCAACGGCCGCAGTGGGGAAAGCCCCCAGGGGGCAAATAGGCCGCTTTGGCCGGACCACACATTAGGTGGTGGCATCAGACAGCCCTGAAGAGGAGACAGAAGGTCCAGGAGCCGTGGATAAAAACAGGCCGCGCTTTGGGGGCTGGCCCTGTGTCAGTCTGGGGAGGAGGGATTCTCGGCTCTTGCTGGAACGCCACTAGCAGTCCACAGCCCAAGGGACGCCCAGGCTGGGCCAAGGCTGCGAACTTGGGAGGCCTGATGGCGCCACGGAGAAGGCTGATGCGAGGGCGGCTGGCAGCGGGGTGCGCGGGCCAGGCGGCGAGGGCGGCCGGGTTGGAGCGCGAGCGGTGGGAAAGGACAGGGGGACACACGGCGGCGACGGTTCAGAGACGAAGCTGACAGTGCCCTGAAGGCGGAGGCAACTCGGACGCCTGAACGCCCTCTTCCCCCGAGGGCAACTCGTCGGTCGGTCGCAGCTGGGTAACGGCAGCTTTGCGAGCAAACGCACAGCGCAGGGCTCTTGACTCCCATTTACTGAAAGCGTACTTTCTGTATGTGGTGCCTTTATTATTTTTAACGGCCTTGCTTTTTATTGAAGCGAAATTCGTATCACATAAAACTTACCATCTTAAAGCATGTGATTCAATGGCATTTAGTCGTCAAAATGTTGTACGTCTATCCACTCGAACCAGTCCCAAGATATTCCCATGACCCCCGAAGGTGACGCCGTGCCCATTAAGCAGGCCTTC